AGGCTAAATTAGACATGTATCGTGTAAAATTTTGACAATATCGAACGTGAATATAAACATCATATGTGACCTAATGTTTGCATTAAATTTGCTGTATAATCAAGTGACTCCGTGGTCTAGGGGTATGACGCTCGCTTAGCGTGTGAGTGGACCCGGGTTCAAATCCCGGTCGATCCTTTTTTTTTTTTTTTTTTTTTTTTTTTTTGATTTACTATATAAATGATAGTATTCAGCATGTGAAATGAAAAAGTTATGACGTCTGGCTTGTACAAACTCATAAAATCATTAATTACAGTGTGATAAATATTCTATACAAAATGAATCTTCTATACACATATTAAAGAATAAGCAATCAAATCTTTTATATCCATATTGGCATTTTTCATTTGCTTCAATATACATGTATACATTTAATAATTCTACAAATCAAAGGGGGGGGGGGTTCCGACCCCCCCCCCCCCCCGAACTGCGCATGTTCTTCTTTTTTCCCTGAGCGGGGGACACAAATTCTCTGAATTAGCTTGTTTTTAAAGTTTATCCTCAAAGTTTCCTTAAAAATATACAGTTTTTGCTTAACAAAAACAAAAGCAAAGACCCACTATACCTTAAAGATACACTTATATGACACAACATTCGCATCTTCTGAGAAATACTTGATTTCTCAGAATACGTCAAGGGTCGTATTACAAACATGATTCATCAGGAGCTGTGTAGCTTAGTAGTTAGCGCATTAGTGTCAAAGGAAAATGATACTCAGGATTTTTATTGCTAGGGTTCAAACCGTACGAATACCACATTGTATTTTTTAATAACAGAATGATTTTTGTCGAGAAAATTTTCCTCAAAAAAGTTTTGTTTTTCATAATTTCATAAATTTCAATAAAGATAATTTTACTCTAAATACTAAATTCACAAATTGAATATAATTTTTACATATCTAAGCTATAGGCATTCTGCACGCCTTGTTCACCCATCTCCTTTCCCGAAAGACGGCGCTGCAGTTAGCCCGTAAAATATCGAATGATCTTTGTCAGGGGTCCATCGGTTGCCTCAGGACCCCTGAGGTTGTGAGGATGATACTCCCCATGAAGGGGAGGAAGGTAAGGTACACTTGTGCTGAAGTTAACAAAAATTTACAAACACAAGGTAAAAATTCCTGAAACAAACTTTGTACCTGGCGTTTTCTGACAAAAATATGTTATCAGTTGCTTTTTTGGGTCAAGTCACTTTCTCAAAATAATTCTGTATTATTTGAAACAATTTAATTTAATCAATTTTTTTTTATTTCAAAATCATTTATTTACACATGAAAAGAGATGACTGTGGTATATTGTTTTGAAGAACATTTTGTTACATTTTCTTCCTTATTGTTGTCTGTTTAGTCCTGATAAGGAAAGCTACAAAATATAAAAACTTCCTTGAAAGGCATTATAACCTGTCTAATGGAATTAAATGATCTTATTCTTATTGTGTCTAACATTTAAATGCAAAATTTTTGTTAAACTCAGTTTTTATCAAGACCTAAAAGATTAGATTACTCATTGTATGTACAATTTTTATATGTATACCACTATTCTTTGACAGATCATTGAATTAAAAAGATAATTTAAAGAATGAAAGTCATTTACGACGTCTTCAGTGAGTAGACTTAGTAACAATTATTTTGAATTTTGTGATCATAAACAGGAAATCAGATTTTTTTTCTCTTTTGAACAAGTAGCAATTCAAAACAAAATTCCACGCCGGTATTTAGGTTTATTAAATTAGTTTTGTTTAACCAAGTTTTTTTTCTTCGAGTTTCAAGTTTATTCCCTTGAACCATCTGGCTGATTAGAGTAATGAGAACATGTTATTAAGAAAAAAAAATCATACAGGGAAAGTGAAATACCTGCATGAAAACTGTGTTATACATCAATGTTGTTTTTTCTTATCAATGTGGAAGCATTCAAAAATTTGCCTAAATTGAAAAGATCTTTAACATTAATAGTGCTTAGCAATTGAATTTATTTTAAAAACACTAGGCTTAGTATAATAGTACTTTTTTCAAAAATTTCTCTCTTGGGCCGTTATACAAAGAGCATTTCAAATTAAAATGAAATTCGTCTTCTATATCATGGATATTATAACATATACATAATCTATTAATCTTGGTTATGTTATTGTGTCGGCATGTTTCCATATTCATTGTATATTTGATAACCTAAATTTTGTTATATTTTTTGTCAATAGGTTTTGTTAAATATGATTGCAAGCAGAAATTGTCAGTGAAATGTTGATATAAATAACACTTTGGAGAATTTGGTATACTTTCTGTTGTATTTTGCTGAGAAACATATAAAAGTCGTTTTTTAAGTGCTATATGCTTTATCATTTAAATGGGTTTCTGTCCAAATTTGACCTAGTCCTAGAAAAGTCGGCTGTTTTTTAACCATTCGATCCTCAGTGACCCTTTCTAATTAATCAACCTTAAAAATCTTTTACCAGCCAATTTGGTGAGACGTCCACTCAATTTCATTTTGTATTTGAACACGTAGGTACGCCATACGAGTAAACAACCAGAAAATTACGGAAAGTGCATGTACCTGGAATGTATCCTAACAATATCTACGACGAAGTATAAATTGAGAAAGACTTTGACCACCGTATGAACTAAGCGTGAAATGGCACGTAATCTGTGTATATCGAATTCTTTAAAAAATAGAGTAGGATAAAACATACATATCCATACACATTATATCATCATAACGTATTATGATAATAAGGCCAATCCCAAGGTCAATATATTGGTTCATGGTGAGCACTCTGTTGTAATTAAGAACATAATATGTGTACACCAGATTAAAAAATACTGCGACTTTATGCATGTTTCATTAACTTTGTTGTTATTTATGCACGTTTGCTGGCCTTGTGTTTCTGGAGTTATTTACAACGTAGCAATCCATCTTATTTTCCCTTTTGTTTTTGTGTAGCAGCTTGTGTATTTTTGTATCGTTCTGATGATATCCATCTACATCAAACTTTTATGGTTCCCTTGTTACCTCTCTAATTATCTGCGGTCATATCAACTTGATGCCAAGAAGTGTCGAGAATCCATGTTGATGGCTTTAGATATTGTAGCGTCCGGTTTAATGGTATACAAATGTACTTGTATATTCACTTTCACTCAGATTTCCGGAAACCGATGATTATATGTGTACACCCAATGTGTTTGGCCAATGAAAACATTTAAGATATTTGCAATTGCTTAATATTATACATATGCTTGAATATGAGTCTGTTTTGGAATATAGAGTTTACAGTGCTTGTTAAAAGGTACCTTTGTCATTGCCTCTATATATTTTATAGTACTACTGGTCCGTGATCCATTATTTTAAGTAGCTTTGTACTTATTTATTTCTCAGCAGATTTAAATAAATTACCTGCTATGAAATTGAGCGACAGGAATTTGTTGAAAACCGAATAACAAGTCGGATGGCATTAAGTGTCATTAATGGTATAGCATCAAACCTTTTGAACTTACGTCCTAACATATGTTACAATTTATGTCCGAACCACTTTCCTCATCTAAACAAATAGCTTTCCTTTGGATTGAATCATTACGTAACGTAAATCCCTTAAACCAGTAGTGAAGTAGAGCAAATTGAGTGAAGTTTAATGAAATAAATTTTCATCTTCAAATTGGCGCCATGTGCAACCACTGATGGACAGGTTCCATTGTATACACGATAATCGATATTACTTCCGTTTGTGATCAGTGATATATGATGCTAGAATAATTGTGGGCTTAGGTATTCCTTTTTTTAAAATTCTCTTCTAAATCAGTCCTTAATTATAGTCATCTCAATAAATGCCAATGTTAACTTGATGTGAAATTTCAGTCTTCTGCAATTTACATTAACGATTATTGAAAAACTGTCCTCCTATTTGCAGACTGGTCGTTATGTATGACAAGAGAGAAGAATGTGATATTAATATTTTGCTGCCCTTGAATTTGAACCATAAATTCATTTTAACAAATACTTTTATTACATCACACATAGACAAAAACATTGTATAAACACTTTACGAGACAAAAGTTGTCAAAAAAAATCACATTTAGTACATTTTTTTTTCAATCTGAAAAAGTAATAAAATGTACATGTATAATAAAAAATATCACAATACAATATCTAACACTGGGATACGAGTCACTTTTCTAACCCTAGATATAAAATGTCAACTCTTAAAATGAAATAACTGATTGAATCGATCTCTGTCTTACTGTAGGACATCGTCATTACAGAACACCGTAACTTTGATAAAAATATAGCTAAAAATATAGCTAACTAATATTGGATTTCAAATATATAATAAAGGTATTACTAATTTTGTTTTCATTGCTTTCTCTCGCTTTTACCAGAGACCTGTATATTATGTATGTATATAGGTCCCTGCTTTTAAGTAAGCAACAGCGTCCTTGAGTAAGAGCACCTATGATTCTTCGGAATTTTTATTTATTTTTTTTTTTATAATAATGGATAATAGAGATTCAATTAACTTTTATTATAGGTAAATTTAGGTGAAATGAATGTCCCATTCAAGAAAATATTTTAATTTAAAGACATGCTCAGTTTCTGGTCAAATATGACGCTTCTTTTGATGGCGTCATTAAATAAATATTATTGCCATTTTAAACCTTCATTTATAAAAAAAAAAAAAAAAAAAAAAAAAAAAAAAAAAAAAAAATCGAAATATTGTGGAAATTTCTTTACATTGATTATATTTTTTACATCCTGTGATTCAGTTCTAATGACTTTTTAAATTTGAAACCATATTCAATGAGATCAAATCTGTATACAGGAAATATTTGTTACAAGTGACATAATTCAGAAAAGGAGCTCCGTGGAACGTTAAAGCTCTAAGTAATCTGATGAGTAAAATTCAGCACATGTTTGCCTGACATCCGGTTTTATTTTAAATGTGATGATTGTGTAACTTATTGAAGAGATTTATTTCCCTATTTTTGAATCAGGAATGTGATACGTGTTTCACGTCTGTTAGATGCATTGTCTCGGCCACTGTAAAATCTTTCAATTTCTTTTTTCCTGGTCTACAGATTGTGTAAAACAGCCATCGTATTGTCTGTTTTATAATATTTCTAAATTTTGGGTCTCCGAATAAGTAGATGAAAGGGTTGATGACATTGTTGATGAAGAATGTCCTTGCTATCAAAGGAAAAGTTGCCAGGACGATGGGACTAGGGGGCGCTACGTACCCATGTTTGAATGTAGAGATGGCGTCAAGGATACAGTTAGGTATATAACACAAAATAAAAGCAACTGTTATTGCAATCATCATTTTTGTAATTCTTGGATTGGATTTCCGAATGTTATCATTGAAAGCAAATTGTTCTTGTTCTTTGGCATGCTTATTGAGGGAGTAAATAACTAAACTATACAGGACCACTAATGCTAAAAACACTACAGCGTACAATGAGAACAACACTGTAGAAAATATGAACGGATAATTCGTATGTGCCATGTCCGAGTTGATAGTGCAATCAAAACCTGTAATATTGAATTTAAGATTGCGTTCTCTTATGCCTTGGATTAGAATAGTTGGCCATGAAAACACAACTGCTAGAACCACAGACGCTACACATGCTAGTCTAGCCTGAGATATCGTCGTGCTTTTACTGAAAGGGTGACATATCTTCTTGTATCTTCCAATCGCCATGACTACAATCACGAATGCCGAAGCAATTTTGAACACATTTCCTAGAAAACGCCCCACTTGACATAAGGTTTCATTGAAAAACAAGAAAGGAAGCACATTGTCAGCGATTTCAAATGGCATGCTGATGCAGCATGTTAAGAGGTCAATTACAGCCAAGGCCAGAATGTAGAATTTGAACGTCGTGGAGGGGTATTTCCGAATGTACACTACTAGGACGATTATATTTCCAATTACTCCTACTAAAATAAGAATTCCAAGGAAGATCACAGTGGGCATTCGCTGATAGGCAGCGTCGTAATTTTGCTCTTCGCGACTCCTATAGTTCATTTTTCCATTCATCATGTCGTCCAGCAAAGAATCCTCAGTTCCGATCTCATTGTACAAAGTTACCAAATCCATTTACTCCGCAGATCTGTAAAGGACAGCAAATTTCTATTTTATACTGGGGTTTAGAACTGTTCTTTGACAGAAGAGTGTTTTTCAGAGCTGCTTACTTACTCCGTTTTTCCTATTCTGAAATATAAATATTGCAATTAGACAATGTGCAAGTAACCCCTAACCTTTCATATTTGATTATGAGATGATTCAAAGTTTAATTCTCGTTATCTAACCAAGCTTTATAAAACATTCATAGGCGTTTTCAGTGTAATTTTATTCATTTGAACCCAACTTGTAGAGAATTTTCCACATACAGCTTTGGTTTATTAATACTGAATGACAAAATCTTTATTGCTTGTATATTGTTTCCTTGTCCATGTCAAATCCTGTTTCCTATTGGTCCGTAATGGATATCTGTTTTTATCCCAATGTTTTACATTTTCTCTAATTACACAATAAAACGGAAGACCTGCCTCATAAAACCATTTTTACAAGGAAACCAGCTTCATTAAAGGTAATATATATTAGTAATAATCTATAGAGATGTTGCTATGCTGGAGAGAGCGTTTTTAATTTCAGTACTTCAGCAGTATCCATAATTGATGTAGTAGATGCTCTGTGACATCACGGCTCGCATCCATTATTTCTTACAAAGTGACACCCGTTCCGTGATTATACATACCAATAGACTAGGAAACAGTGATGATTGGCTGCATTATGTATTTGATAGGACAGTCACCCAACTAACAATTTCATTTCATCAGCAGTAATGCATGGACTGGAGGCACGGAGTGGAGTCTGGAGTGGAGTTTGGAGTCTGATTTTTTTTAAAATTTGATTTTTGCTATTTAGAACAAAATTCTGCAGGTGACAACTCTGTAGTCTTATTATATTCCCATGTTGCTATAAAGCACCAGCTATTGCAACGTTTAACATAACTCCTGTTACTAAAATTAGATTACGAGTATCTTGAATCACCTTAAAATCTGCTCAAAAACAGACAAATGATGTTTCTTTCTACTTTTTTAGATGGTGTCATTCATGCCCGTTTGATACTCCGTAATCAATTTTAATGTATTTTTCTGCTCCTTTCGCCTGAAATTTTCCGATTGTTTAAGCAAATATATTCTTTCTTGCAATACCCCCAAAATAAGAGTTACTGAATGTGAGCTTTACATTGATCAATCTTGGTATAAATATGAGATTTAATCTGTCTTACTGATGTACATCGTCGCAAGCCACGGGCTTTGTGTCCATTCTATTTCCACAAACCCGTGGCTGCCTCCTACCAAATTCTCTCGTTCTCGCGACTGAATCATTGAATATTTATTAAGTGACGCCAGATTTACCTTGACCAATGAAATCACTCTGTAGCAATTTTTGGTACGCTTAAATGGCGGGGCCCATAATGAAATCATGTTTGCTATGCGTGGCAGATTTAGTGAAAAATATACGATAGATCCTGAAGAACAGAGGTGAGTAACGTATATTCTAAAATACAAGGTTTTACATTAAAATACAGGATTTCGAATGTAGACGTTGTGTGAGAACGCTGAATAGCGTTACTCGTTAAGAAAGGAAATTCGAACCGAAGTTGATGTACAGCTCGTGGTTATGGTTACATCCAAATACAAGATAGACTGATCATTTTCATTGGTTCTGACTTGAAGTGTCAGATGTTATTCCATTGGTTGAATGTATGTTATTAATATTCATGAGAACGAGAGAAATTTGTAGGAGGCAGCCACGGGTTTGTGGAAATAGAATGGACACAAAACCCGTGGCTTGCGACGATGACTGATGTATAGAATAAAGATACAAAATTCTTCAGGTGACAATTCTTTAGTTTTATTATATTCCCGTGTTGCTATTAGAAGTGATGCGTGTGTTCCTTGGAAAAGTGTAGATGAACATTTTAGTTTATATTTCAGTAATTTAAAACTAGAAGTATTTCCATAGGACATGAATGCCCCGTCTAGTGTATATTAGTAATGCAACATGAAAATTTGTATTAATGTATGAAGTTTGAAGCGAACATCTTCTTTCTTTAAAGAAACTTCTATAGTTTCTTTCAAATTGAAATCTAAAAAAATTGGATATAGATGATAAATTTTCACCAAATTATGTATAAGTGCATAAGCTTTCATAAAAATATCTTAAATGTTTTTTAAGACTAAGCAAAATGCAAATTATAGAAAAGTGAGGTCAAGGTCACAGGAAAGTGCAAGGTTAAAAGATTTCATGCAGTTAAATAGCCCTCACTAATAAGATCAGCATATTAGGTTTGATAAACATATCTTGAATGGTTTATTTAAAACTGAGGTAAACACTGATTTAAGAAAAGTGAGGTCAAGGTCAAGGTGAAAAATGTTGATGCAGTTGATAGCTCTCATCAGTATGTATTAGCATATGAAGTTTGATATATCTTAATATCTTAATATCTTAAATTCTTTATTTAAAATTAAGCTGAACATTATTATCAGAAAGGTGAAGTCAAGGTCAAAAGAAAGGTCAAGGTAGAAAAAGTGTTAACATCAGTATGTATCAGCGTATGAAGTGAAGTTTGATTACACTATCTTGAATTGTTTCTTTAAAACTGAGCTAAACACTAATTTAAGAAAAGATCAAGGTCAAAGGAAAGGTCAAAGTCAAAAAATGTTTACACAATTGAAAAGCTTTCACCAATACCTATCAACATATGAAGTTTTATAAAAAATATCTTGAAAAATATCTTTGAAACTGAGCTTTGAACTGAGCTAAATGCAAAGCTTGACGGAAGGAAAGAAGGACGGAAGACAGACATGACAAACTCTATATGCCCCAGCCATATTCATGGCGGGGCATAAAAATATTATGAAGTAGACTAGTGGTATGCTTTTTTGATATATTTGAATTATAAAAAAAAAATATCAATTTTGACGATTTTTCATAATAATCATTAATCAAATTTCTTAGTAATATCAATTAGAGCTTTTTTTCACAACCAAATTTATACTTTTGAAAGACATTGTATCAGTCATATTTGAAAGCTTATGTTCTAGGATTTGAGATAATAACAAATATTCATTTAAGATATTGATTGTTAGAACAAGTCAGTCGAAGATCACATTATCTATTATCTAATCTCAGGACTGGTATTATATTAATGTTAATTTTTATTTAGACAGATTAATCTTCTGTTCCAAACTCTTGAACTTAAATCTTTTTCCTCAAAAATGAATTTGTACTTTAAATGAATAGCATACAGATGTGAATAAATGGATCTGTTATAGTTGCCTAACACTACCTGCATGCTCTTGTATAAATAACTCTTGACAGATTATGTGGGACATACAGTGGCTGCATTAAATTCCCGCAAATTCTTTCAGATAAGGTCGTGGGTATTAATTTCACTCTCATTGTCAAAAAGTGTGTTATCTATAACAGTGGCAGTTTATTCTATGTTTTAATCAAATTTAACTGTTACATAAATAATGATCACCATAGCTTTCAACAAATAATTGCAGGGTGATAAAACCATTTGAACTAAATTTTAGCTTTCTGTCACATCTTTGTTATGTCTGCTAAAACTTAGGTTTTTGACCACACAGCTGAACAATGTAGGTTAATATAATTATTGTTACAAGGTTGTTTGTAAAATAAGATTGATTTTTCTCTCTATATAATTTACTGTAGATTTGAAACCATCAATTTTGTATCTTAAAATTTGAATTTAAAAAAAGATTATCAATAATGCAAATAATTAAATAATATTATGATACTGTAATATAAATTACAATACATTGGTGACTCGCAATTTTTATCAATTTAGAAGTTAATGGGAAGGAATGCACTGTGATGCTACTTAAGGGATGATAATATTTATATATACTCCTAAAGAATGCAATAATTTTAATGTATGCATGCTGTTCAAGTTAATTCACACTAGATCACATACTCCAAAATTAAATGGTCATCGTTCAAAGGTTAATCAGCATCTCTGAAATTAGGTGTGGGGATTCTGGCTTTTCTCTATGAGCCAGTGTAGTCTTACATAGCTTTCACTATCAGTTAGAAAACTGACAATTTATTCAATGTTTAATAAAGATAAACTGGAGTAAAAACAATTAACACATTGCTTTCACTTGAAGTGTGATATGACCCATATAGTTGATTTGTTGATTTTGAGGGTGAGGGAGTGACAACCCAAGGAAAAGGGAGAGATTAGTATGGTAATTGCTATGTCGCTGAAGTAAGGGAGTGAGTGAACCTTTTGGTACACCATATGATAGTGGTATAAAGTGTGAAACTTATTTTAAAACTGATTATATTTTCTTTTTTGATTTAACATGGAAGGTAATGAATAGATGAGTGTATATACTGGAAAAAAGCGTTCTTATAAATTGCTTTAAACACTGAACCTAATAGCTTTTGACAGGTTTGTTAACACGTCGAATTAAACTATATTAAAACAATCAGTAAGACAGACTATATCTGTTGATTAATTATATTCAACAGATATTAATTATATTCAACAGATATTTTTAAAGAACAGGGGTTATCTTGTCAGTATCATGTCTGTTTATTCAATACTGATGTAATTTTTAAAGTTACAAATACTTAAGTTTCAGAAACTTACAAATTTTAATTAAGTCATAGTACCTATGAATTGTCAATCTGTTTAGTTACAAGACAAGAAACAGCAAACAAATGTACAAAAAAGAATACTTTCATACTAATGCAATTTCTTGAACATCTTTTTCCATTCATGTTTTTAAATAAAAATCTTAGACTCCAAAATTTGACTCCAAACTCCACTCCATAACTCCATACCATGCCTCCAGTCCATGAATTACACGGTGCCAGCAAGGATGAGTGGTCGGAAAACCGTCTGTCCATTCTGGTTAAATCCGATTATATCTAACTACTATGATGAATGGAATTCATCACAAATTCACTTCGTTGAGAATTATCACACTTCAAAAATAAAGGGTTTACACTATTTGACATATCAATGTTTCAGCGATCACGACAATTGTATTACTCGTAGTCGTACATGATTCAG